TACAGTATATGCTTTTTTGTGCATTGATTGTGTTTATTGCAAGGGGAGTTCAATTCAAACCAGGACTTTTGAGTTTATATAATAAAAGAACAAGGAGTGGAAACTGCATTTATTTTTCAACATACACCCCTGCTACAGTTATACACTTATCCCAGCGTTTATCTAATGCCTGGAAAGCTTTCAAATAGAAAGATTTGTCAGTACGCCTAAACCTTTCTAGGTTTTTTTTATTTGTTTGTTTTTTTGTTACCTTTTTTGTCTCAGCATAGATCTATGCTTGTTCCAAGCATGTTTGAAGCTATTTACTGTTGACTGGCTCACTACCTCTGCTGGAAGTTTATTCCAAGCATCAACTACTGTTTCACTAATTTCGTACTTTCTGAGATTAGTTTTGAACTTTCCTCCAGTTAGTTTAAGGTCATGTCCCCATGTTCTTGATTTTGGTTTTGTGTTGAAAATACTTCTCTCCTGAACCTTTTTCACCCCCTTGATGTATTTAAAGGTTTTAGTCATGTCTTTCCTTTCCCTTCTTTCCTCCAGACTGTACATGTTAAGTTCCTGAAGTCTCTCGATATGTTTTATGTCCCAGACCTTTCAGCATTTTTGTTACCCGTCTCTGGACTTGTTTCCTTGTATTTGGTTATACTGTCATTGTCACTTTGAGATGTTTATCCATTTATCATATGTTTAGGGAAACCTCCGCTCTATGAGGACAAATGATCTATCTTTTATTTATTGTTGTATGTTGTACCTTGTAAAATGGCGTATTGGTTCACGCGTACTGAGAAACTCTATTGATGTTTCAATTGGTAGTAAAATCATATACTGATTTCCACATTGAATTTACAATTTATCTAGCCTACTCCTTTTAGCCTAAATGATCTTGAAGTTTGAAAATGTACTTCTTGAACACTCAGGCATATTTACTGCCTTGAATTCTGCAAAACGTATTCACTATCCTCTGTGAGTAGGCACTGATGTGTCACACATTTCACAGAGCCTGCCTTTTGAACTACAGAGGTGCTGAGAGGAGGAGTTTCAGGTTGTGGCATCAGTACAGAGATCACTACTTGCAGGTAGCCAGGTACCCTGGGATATGTAGTCCTTAGAAAAAGTAAACTGCAGAGGAGAAGCTGCAAGGAATGCAGGGAATCCAGAACATTGTGGAAAGAGATGACCAGCAGACAGACGGCACTTACAACATGAAAGGACATTTTCAAGTAAGCTTCTATTGGTCTGTCAAATATAACTATTGTTTGCATTGCTAATACAATGATGATGTTACAAAATGAAAGTGTAGGCTGTGACCACGCACGTCCATCACCAAGAGAGACCTTTGTTAGCTGTTCTTGGCTGACTCCTACCCTCCTCCATCTCCTCACTAAATCAATGTTTTGACATCCTCCTTTTTTTGAAATACTGTTAAATTGGCCTGCTATCCTAGCTAAAACAACTGAAGCGCAAGACTATAACATGTTTTATTGTATAAACAAAACTGATTGTAGCACCCAAAAACTGAACAAGTAATCTCTCAGCTTTCAAGCATTATATTGAGATTGGCAGGTATTTCAAGAGCAAACAGAAAAGATATGTGATTGGATTTGACTATGAAGATTCCACAAAAATGTCAAAGTAAAAATATTGCTGTGCCAAAAAAAAAAAAAAAAAGACAAAACATGTAGAGTTGATTGCAGAACATTTGTTGCAGAATGTTTCTGTAGTATAAACCCTTGTGGCAAACAATTCATATCAGGCCTGACCGGCTGTTGAAATGACCCTCTTACAGTCAAGGTACTTGATAGTACAAATGTAACTACAACCTGAAATCTTTCTGGAATAGTGTGCAAATAAAAATCAGATAAGAAAAAGCAGCGTTGCATTGCTGTATCTAAAGTTAAGGTGGTATTAAACCAAACAACATAAAGTTTGTGTAGTTTACCAATCCTTAAATGTCTGCATTAGTTTTGCTTTTTATGCTTTTTTCCTTTACTTCTAGTGGTGATCCTGCCAGTAAAACACTTCCTGTATTAGAGTGTATCCAGTATGGATGGAGGAGCAATGGAGACACCTTTGGACAACATCATTGTCAGTCTGGAGAAAGACTGACAATGATGACACTAACAGATTTAGATTGACTAACAAATCAAATCATAACTCCAGCACATTTTAACCGCTTAATGACTGAAGGGGAAACTAATTATAAATCCTGAATGCAGTATTGTGACTTTGGCATGTGTTAGTAAAACTGTACATATCATCACAATTACTTACTGTATCCAGGTAATTTATTCCTTGTTTTTATATTTTTCAGAATAAATTGGCCTTTATTTGGTGGTAAATGTTACTTGATATCTTCTGATTATCAAAGGAAAACTTGCCCAAAATGGAGAAAAAATAACAGACTCATTGGCTTGATCACCAGGTGAAAAAAAAGAAAGAGAAAAAAGTTCAAAAAAACATTGGAGCCACCACATCTAAACATTGGTAAGCTGCAATGTATTACATTTTGTTTTTGGAGTTTAGTTATGTTTTAAGACTGATTTTTTCAAATACAAGTTTTGCAATTATAGAAACATAGAAAAGTGACGGCAGAAAAAGACCAAGTGGTCCATCGGTCCGCCTGTTTTTGTTTTTCTGGTTAACTCTTTTGTCTGAGTATAGATCTATGCTTGTCCCAAGCATGTTTGAAGCTATTTACTGTTGACTGGCTCATTACCTTTGCTGGAAGTTTATTCGAAGCATCCACATGGCCTTAACAATTAGAGGCTTGCCATAGTGACTTAATAAGTCAAAGTCAAACTTACCTAGGGCTCCTTTCATTGCGGAGTATACATTCACAATCTTGCTACTGGAAATCACCTTTATTCCCTTGATCCATAAATTCTACCAATTATTGCTGAAAATTTGATTTTCTTTTTTTTTTTTTTAAAGATGCTGTTTATTATTTACATATTCGAAAGTACACACAAATACAAAAATAAACTTTTAGAAGGACATGTCCTTCATAGTAGCAACAGCACATATTTAATTTAGCAGAAATCTTACAACTGACTGACAAATATTCATATGGTATACATGAAGAAATATACTGTAACTGTAAAACATTGTAATCTACACTGAGTACCAACATGGTCATGTGGTGAGAGAGGATTGGTTCCACAGACCCCAGATTTAGTTGAAGTTTTTTGGGGAGCCCCTGTTGACATTGTTCAGCTGGAAGAGCAAAACTGATTAATTGTTAACACTCAAGTAGGGATATTTTTATAAGTAACTAAAATATTTTATTGCATGAAAATAAAAATACTGTATCTTAATAATTTCTTATTTTGACCCACTGCAGATGCAAAATCATATAACCATAATCAAAACCATATATCTATGACCACAATGCCTGTATTTTGGGGCATAGCCCAAGAACATGGTAGAAATCCACAGTTTGACTGCGAATGCTGAAACAAAATAGGGACTGCCAAACATTTAATTTACACAATCCTAATGTTAGATGAAAGTATATGTTGGACAAATTTATCCTTTAGAATATATGACAGAAGTTATGTATGTTTTCCTCTTCCTCCCACTCCTCTGCTGTCAACTAGGGTTTGACATCATGCAACTTGGAATGGGTTCAGAGTTGCTATGGTATCTTAGCGTTGAGTAGCTCAGAGTAGTACTTTGAAATTAATTCAGGGTCATCTGGAGATAGTAAGAGTTTTTCCAGAGAGGTCTGTTGGAATATAATATGGATCTTGACTCTTAACTGCAAGTTGTAAATGATAATAGAAAATAATTTGTGCTGCTAGTGTATTGAATTCCAACTGAATGCTTTCAAAGTCTTTCAATTTGTCCTCTTGAAATAGTTGATGCATAAATTTAAGGCATTTAGAGGACCAATATCCTGCACTTGGTGCTTTCTTGAATTCAGGTAGGAGTAAATAGAGGAGTTAACGTGTAGTAGGAGCTTAAGGAAGTATTGTACCCTGCCAGTTCCCAGTGGGTTGTTGATATATTGAGTTATGGAGGGATTCAGTCATTATGGCCACCTCTATGGCTGTGCATTCATACTTGGTTTGAGCCAGCCAGGCTGCAAGATAGTGTAGATAAAAATTAGGGAATGCCATGACCACTTGTCTAGTTGGTAACTGGAGTGTGTTAAGGGAAATTCTCAGGGTCTCAAGGTTCCATATGAAAGAGAAAAAGATGGTGCTTATTTGTTTAAGTGCTTTCGGGAAATTCCATTTCTAGAAAGAAAGCCATTTTGTGGCATTTCATATGGGATTTTCAACTATGCTGCCTTCAGTGACCTTGATCCCAGGTTCCAGTGACACTGAATATTCACTATCAGCACTCTTGCCTCACCTTTGGCTTTACAGTTCCTGTCCTGTAATCCTGAGAATCTGAGCTCTGGATTCAGATACATGATAGCCACCTATACTTTCTATAAAAGCTGGCATGTTTCATCTTTATAGGTGAATTCCTTAACCATAGTTACATTAAGTTTGATAACCCCTCTACAAGTTGGTGACATAACTGTATCTGTTTAAGTTTAAGGGCTCTATTTAAATGTTTTCTCACAAGATTCATACAACATTCACTCAGGATTCACACATTTTGTCAATTAAATCCAAATATAAAATATGTGACTGTTGGGTGAAAACATTTATAAATAGACTCCCATGGGTATTCCTTGCTTTATAGTGAACTCTAGTATAGTTATAACTTTAGCCAACAAGCTCTACAAATACAACATATTATCAATCCATGAATCTTTAGTAATATTTGGGAAGTATAGGAAGAAAATTCTGTTTTTTTGTGAGGAAGCGTTGAAGAATCATGTGGGCAGTTGATTGTTGATTGTTCTAAGTGACTGTGAGCCCACTTTACTGTAAGTGATTTTGCTCTCAGCTGTAATTGACGGCTAGGCTGAGGGCCTCTGTACGTTGATCTGCTCCTGTCGCTATGGGAAACAGACTGCTGGGGAAGGAAGCCCAAGAGGCAACCCCCTTCACTACCATATGTATGCTTCACCTGGCACAGATACCACGTTTCACAAAAGGCTGCTTTTGCTGGTTATTAGACCTCCGTTACCCTTGGCAACTACTCACTTGATTCTGTACCATGTTAACTCTTGCAGAGCTGTCTTCATACCCCTTAATTGACCTGAGCTGCAGACAGGGGCAGACTGACCATTTGGAAACTCAGGCACTGCCCGAGGGCCCAGAGTCAGTAGGGGGCCCCATGAGATGCCCCTTGTACCTCTTTCATAGGCTTTTTTGAGTTTGGGCAAGGACACAGGGGCCCCATGATCCCCTATTGCCCGGGGGCCCCATGAGTTGTCAGTCCGCCCCTGGCTGTAGATAATATATAGAGTGCCGGTTACTTTCATACGCCCCCTTGAATCACTTCAGACTGGGCAGGACAATGTTTTAAGTCTTTACTGTAAATTTAACATGACAGCTTTAAAAGAGCAAAACATTATTTTCCTAACTAAACCTGGTTTGGCTGCTCAAGCATACCTGCAAGGGTAGAACTCATATAGACAAAGTCCGTAGTGTCCAAGACGCTGGGCTCCTGATGAGCTGGTATCTTCTTTTCAAGCAGCAGCTCTTTGGACTCAAAGCTTGGCTAGGCTTAACTCAGCTTTTCGGCTCTCAGATTCAGATCCCTGTCCCTTTTTATAATAATACCAGACCAGTTGGTCAGACCCAAAATAGCCAAAAAATACATTAACCCTTTCCCCTGACTAGAACAGCCATAACTAAATAACTACAGTAGAAAACCGGCCTACACATTCCCCTCCTGTATCGCAGGCCATCCCAAACAAACCCAACATCACAACATAATCTTGCAGCTAATTTTGCAAAGCAGAATAAATACCAGAACCAGGGCACAGTTAACAGTGCAAATCAAAATAAGTAACATAGACATGAAAAAACTTAACAGAATGCACACAATGTAGACATAAAAGTCTGGATCTGGAAGGTAGACTGGTTTCCTGGTGTTTGGGTGGGTTCCCCTGATGCAGTGCATAGTAGGGAAGAGGCATCCAGGCTTGTCCATTTCAATCCTGTGCCTCCCGATGCTGTATTTCTTGTGGAAGTGGTGGCACTCAGTCTCAATATGTTTGTTTTCTTGCTCCGGAGGTCTCCGGCACATAAAGCCTTTCCCAAAGGACATGACTTTGGGCCGTTATTCCTTGGGCACATAAGGAAAAGCGCACCCATGCTTTTTCAATACGTGGGCATCAAAGTACCTCTGAAAGCAGGATAACCAAGTGATCTTGGCTCAAAAGTGGACTGAGCCCTGGGGTAAATAGGCATCCATAGGGTAGTGGTACTTGTATTCAGTAGGTTCAATGGGGCCCTTGCAGAACTAGGTGGTGCACGCACGATAGCAAGGAAGGGCACATAGGATTCTGGTGACGGCTAAGACCTGGCTATCGAAGACCAGCAAGGCCCAGAAGATCCCCTGCATGGCTCCGGGCAAGAGACCTGGGGAACAAACAAAGACTCCTTTGCAGCTGCGGAGGTGACCCTTGCAGCAGAACCCAGGAAGGGCCATAGCATGAGGTCCGGCACCATCAAGTCCCTGATAGAAGAGCCAGTGCTGTCCGGGAGATCCTTGGCAGGTAGGTCAACGATTGGTGGAGGTTGTAGCTCTATCAGAATGACCTCCAGAGACTGTTCACAGGCTCTCAGGATGGGTGCAGAACCAGGCATAGAGGAGCAGAGGAGCAGAGCAGCAGCTCGACCCTTAATCCAGTGGGTGAGCCCATCCCTGGGAAGTGTTGCTTAGTAGGCTATAGGATCTTAGCTTGTGGTTCCTGCGATTGGAAGTCACAGACAGGCTGTCTGAGGACTCCAGGTGTCTGGACCTTGAGCATCCTCTGTAACAGGTGAGCCCCACAGAAATGGCAACAAGCCCACAGTGTATGTGTTACCAGACATCCGTGGCAGGACAGAAAGATCACTCGGAGTTCTTTGCAGACACCTGTGTGACAATGGGCAAACCCTACAGAAGCCTAATACCGGACTCCAGTGTGGTGGTCGGAACCTTCTTCAAGGAAATTTGCTGGCTAGACATGGTGATTGGTAGCAGCGCACGTGGTGGACTCGAGCATCCTTCCAGGACAAGTTGCTATATACGCCCCTTATCGGCATCTCTGCCAATCCGGTGAGGGTACCTCGTGCAGGAGCCAATCAGGAAACAAGCATGATTAATCACATTCACTATTGCTGGACAAGCCTGGACAAGTTCTAACTAGCTATTGCCATGGCATCTTTAGACGTGGTCTTCAGGTGTATGAAGTAGGGGTAGCTCAACGTTGGGTGCCAAATCGTGTAGGCAGTTGGTTGTTGACTGTTCCAAGTGACTGTAAGCCCAAGAGGTTCTTCCGGCCTATGCTAGGCACCATAGACAGGGTCACTCACCTTACACATGGGGTACCCTTGCTGCGTCGTGCTCATCAATGCCCTGGAACAAAGTGGAGACTGCTTTCAGGGAAATTCAACCTGAAGGCTCTCCTCCAACTTAGATATGGCTGTACGCCATGCACTCTGAGTCAATAAACTGTTTTCCAGTTAACTCTCTGGTCCTGTGTCAATGTACACCTTGACTGTAACCATTTACGAGGGACGCTGAGCCTATGCCGCTCCACCTATCCAGTGTATCTCTGTCACCTCACTCCCAGTGACAGAATGGGGTCCAGTCATGCTCCTAGCAAGAACCTTATGCGTACATTTTGTCTTCTTACTCTCCCATACCTGGCAGCCAGGCCGAGGGTCTCCGTATCGCTGATCTGCTCCTATTGCTATTGGAGACAGACAACTGAGGAAGGGAGTCCCAGAGGCATCCCCCCCTTAGAGTGGCACATGTACAATGCTTCATGACAAGCTGCTTGTGCTGGTTACTAGACTTCCCCTTCCCCCTGACTAGGGCAGCCATCACTAAATAACTACAGTAGGCAACCTGCCTACAAGTCTGTTAGGTTTTCCCTAGTGTCTGCATTTTTCTGTCCCCTCATTGTTTGTCCTGGTGCCCACAAGAGTAAAAAATTAAGGGAAATCACCCCAATAAGGTCAATGACAGCAATAAAAATCTTACTATTGTAGCCTTCCCTGGCTGGATAATTGCTTTATGAAATAAGTGATTACCAGTATATTAATGCAACAAAAGACTGCAGTGGTGATCTCAATAATTCACATAAAAATTAACATAGCTGATTATGATTACCTTCTCCTTAAGATAATAAAAAAAAATCAGTTTCTTTGTCTATACACTTAAAAATGCACACACTCGAACACAAACATTACAGCAAGGTACAGCAAGGCTCATCTGTAAAGTTACCACTGTGAAGTAAGCATACCTCTACATGCAGACCCTCAGATCTGCCCAGGCTTCACCAGCATCATACTCGAATCCTTCACCGAAAAGGAACTAGAGACGCAGAAAGTGGAGGACTACATCAAAAGAAATGAGGCAGCACACCCACTGTTCAGCTAATTGGATGATTAAATATAAAATAGAGAAAGTTCCCCTTTGAATTTTAGACACTTGAGACTTAGTTTTACTTAATTTATATTAAAAATCCTCATTACTTTCCTACATTAGTGCTAATTTATTTAAGAGACAGTCTCCATAAATAAATTTAGCTAAGACAAATGGCTGATATTTTATATATTTTGTTGGAGAATTTACCCCAGCTTGCCTTTCATTAGTATACAGCAAGTAAACCTGTCTACTGAACACATTCCCATGGTTGTGGTTTATTTTTAAAAATCACATTATTTTGATGGGCTCACATCTGAATCTGTTTAGCTTGCTTATTTTTCTTGAATATGTTCAGTGCACAAATTATATTTCAAAACAAACCTGAGTAACATTTGACATCTATTTTTCTTTTTTCAGTGTAGCAATAAAAAAGGAATGTTTTTCATTCTCAGCAAAATAAAGAACTGTTGACTATTACTTATGCCGAATTTTATTTTGGAAAGCATCAGCAAGCAGATGTTATTATTTTCAAATCCCTGGCCAGCTTTTTTGTTTGTTAGATGTCAGCATATTAATATTTGGTCACTCAGAAATAATATCCAAGAAAATATGCCAATGTAGTATAAGTGGAATGTGTAGCTATAATTGGTAATATTTAAGGTGCCAAGATCATTTAGAAAAACACAATCTGAATAGTGAAACACACAGAAATTTGGACTTATTTAAAGGTCATATCCATAATCCTCAAATGCATTTTAACTATTATATTAGGTTTTCACTGCACATTAGATACTGTGTAGTAATGCTTGTCTTCCAGAAGAGTGATATATTAACATATGGCTATGCTACTGAGCTATATATGAATTTTATTTTCAGTGCTTTGGACCTATTTAAAAGTTATACACATCTATAATTAACAAAGTGATTTCAATTTTTATATTGGATCATCTCTACGCTTTAGATATAGTAATGCTTTCATTCCAGTAGAGCTATATATAGACATCTAAAGTTATGCTACTTAGCTATACGTGAGATTTTTTTTTAATTTCTTAGAATTTTTTTTAAGTGATACTAAACACACATTGTTTAATTTACATTATTTCTTCTCTTTATGTATAAGGATGATGGCACTGTATTTATTAAAAAAATTAGGTACCTTTTTCATAAACCATATACTGTTGTCATGTGACCCAGCTCTTTCTTAGCCTGTCTGCAAGGAAACGTCTGCAGATGGAGCTTCTATTCCTTCAAAATACAAAGGAGAAAGAAAGAAAGAAAGAAAGAAAGAAAGAAAGAAAGAAAAAGAAAGAAAGAAACAGATAAACAAAGAGACAGAAAAAGAGACAGAGAGAGAGAAAGAAACAGACAGATAAACAAAGAGACAGAAAAAGAGACAGAGAGAGAGAAAGAAAAGGAGAGAGCGACAGAAAGAGATAGAGAGACAGAGAGAGAGGCCGATAGAGGGAAAGACATAGAGAGGGAAAGGGAGAGAGCCAGAAAGAGACAGAGTGAAAGACAGAAAAGGAGAGAGGCAGAAAGAGACAGAGAGAGAGAGACAGAAAGAGATACAGAGACAGAGCGAGAGGCAGATAGAAGGAAAGACAGAGAGAGAGAAAGAGACAGAAAAAGGCAGAGAGAGGCAGAAAGAAACAGAGAGAGAGAGAGACAGCCATAAAGAGAGATAAACACAGAAAGAGATAGAGGGAGACACAAAGAGAGAGAGAGAGAGAGAGAGAGAGAGAGAGAGAGAGAGAGAGACAGAGAAAGAGACAGATAGTGAGAAAGGAACGAGACAGAGAGAGAGGCAGAAAGAGATAAGAGAGACAGACAGACATAAAGAGAGATAGACACAGAAAGAGATAGAGGGAGACAAAAAGAGAGAGAGAGGCAGAGGGAGAGAGAGAGAAAGAGAGAAAAAACAGAGAAAGAGACAGATAGTGAGAAAGGAAAGAACAGACAGAGAGAGAGGCAGAAAAAAAGATAAGAGAGACAGACAGACAAAAAGAGAGATAGACACAGAAAGAGAGAGAGGGAGACACCAAGAGAGAGAGAGGCAGAGAGAGAGAGATATAGAGAGAAGGATGGAGAAAGAGACAGATAGTGAGAAAGAGAACGAGACAGAGAGAGAGGCAGAAAGAGATAAGAGAGAGAGACATAAAGAGAGGCCAGAGAGACAAAAGAGAGAGAGACACACAGAAAGAGATAGAAGGAGACACAAAGAGAGAGACAGGAAGGGATAGAAGGAGACACAAAGAGAGAGAGAGAGAGACAGAAAGGGATAGAGAGACAGATAGAGAGGCAGATATAAAGACAGAGAGAAAGAGACAGAAAGTGAAAAAAAAACAGGCAGAAAAAGATAGAGAGACAGACATAAAGAGAGATAGACACAAAAAGAGATAGAGGGAGACACAAAGAGAGAGAGAGAGAGAGAGAGACAGAAAAATACAGAGTGAGACTCACAGAGACAGGGAGACACAGAAATAGAGAGAGAAAGAAAGAGGCAGAGAAAGAGACAGAGACTCTGTGTCTAGGTAGGAGGGGCATATTGTAATGTTAGGTCTCCACCCACCCAAGCTTCAGTGCTATGCCTGGCCCACAGATTGGCAGATTTCTGAGCGCTACAGTCGAATAAAGATACATTTTTTACAGGTACACACAATGCTATTTAGGTTATAACAGTATTATCTTCTAAAATTTGCAAAATAGTGTAGTTTTGAGGATTTGGGTTACAACCACTTTAAAGCAAACTTGTCAATAAAGTTAATAAACCCCAAAAACATGCTATATACTCACGCTAGGATCTATTAGTGCTTATAAACATCATTAACTACTAGATTAAAGTGACAAATAATTATAAATGTAGCACTACCCTCGTGAGGGCAGCTTGTATGTCTTGCCCTGGTTTCCTCTTACTTTGCCCTGCAGCCAAGCACAGTGTATTTCTTCAGCCAAACACTCACACACACTTCAGCTCATTTTCTTCAATGACCAGTCTAAGGGATGTTTGTTTTTGGAGTTTTATTGTAGAACTAGGAATAGGGATGGGGAATTGTAGTAGGATGCTCCAAAATTAGAACTATTCACATTGCAGACATGTAGCTGATCTCTTAGTTGAGCAATGTAGAAGTCCTGACTGGCAGCAGATAGCAGACTTCTTTTTTAAAATGTAGTTGCAGGTAGTTTAGGAGTGAGCAAAGTCTCTTTTTGTAGTAGTAGTAGTTACAAGGCTGAGCTCCTCAAGTACAAGCCAGTTACGACAGACTGCGACAGCCCAAAGGTAACGTATGTCCTGTGTCCAAGCACACTACTTTAGGCTATTAGCATTTTTTGAGCTAGAGTTTTTTGGAGCATTTTTCCAGCAGAAAAAAATGCTATATGCTCCTAAACGCTCCTAAACATGGCTAAACGCTACTAAAACGCTTAACAGCTTATTTCTAGCTTTTTTTCCCTCAACATGTACTGTAAAAACACTGCATTTTAATAAACCGCTAATACTCCTAAAAGCTCCTAAACATTTAGAAATGCTACTAAAACTCTACCAAATGCTACTAAAAAAGCTATTACCAGTGTTTTTAATCAAGCGTTTTTTGAGCTTGAAAAAATGCTAGTGTGCATGGAGCCTTAAAAAGTTTTTAAACCTCTACAACTAAATAAATACACATACCGAGCACGTCAGAGGATTGTAACAAACACACCATCAATTTTTCCATATCCAGGGGCGGACTGACCATTTGGAAACTCGGGCACTGCCCGAGGGCCCAGGGTCAGTAGGGGGCCCCATGAGATGCCCCTGGTACCTTTTTCATAGGCTTTTTTGAGTTTGGGCAAGGACACAGGGGCCCCATGATCCCCTATTGCCCGGGGGCCCCATGAGCTGTCAGTCCTACCCTGTCCATATCCACATATTTCTTCTCATAAATAAATCCAAGTGAAAAAATGAGTGCAGTATCTTAATCTGCCATGCAATATTTATTTAATTCAGGTGCACATCCTCAATGATGTGATCCCCAGCAGGGATCCCCCTCACTCACCGACAGCTGTGGACTCTTAAATGTATGTAAGAGTCATCGTTTATGAGTATCCTGGTGCTGCTGGAGCTTGTAGTCCTCCTCTCAGTGGTAATGTGGCATCATAGGTAGCGATGTTCACAGGGATATGTATTGCTCACATATAATGGAAATAGTAGAAGGGACCCACATTCTGTAATACCATTTATTATATCATGTAGTTAAAATCAGTTACACTTACAAGATTAGGAAGATATCAAGCAAGACTAGAAGTGACACACCGGTGTGTGTTTTCACTGGCCGGATATGACTTCACAATGCTTTCCAGCTGACGCGTTTCTTCCCCTCCCACTGGGCATCTTCAGGGGTTCCACCCATGTGATTCTGGCTGAACTCCTGAAATGTCCCCAGCAAAACCATTTTCTGATATACTCTCTGGCTGTCATTTGGTGACATTTGCTTTCAAATGTTTCTCATTTGGAGGGGCTTTCTATCATTTGTCACAAAATCCCTCTGTCCTTCATTCCTCCTCAAATGTCTCCTTTTTACCTCGTATAGAGATATTTTTTAAAAACAGTCGGGAAAACAATTATTTAATCCCCTGCAGATTTTGTAAGTTTCCCACTTACAAAGAAATGAAGGGTCTATAATTTTATCATGTGTGTATTTTAAATGATAGAGACAGAATATCAATGAAAAATCCAGAAAAAACACAATACAAATGTTGTAAACTGAGTTGCAGTTCAGTAAGTAAAATAAGTATTTAATCCTCTACTAACCAACAATAATTCTGGCTCCCACAGATTGGCTATGTGCTCATGTGGTACACAGATTAGTCCTGTCAATTTAAGGTGTTCCTAATGACAACTCGTTATGTGTATTAAAGACACCTGTCACACAGAACCTTTCTTCCGTTCAAACCTCACCACCATGGGCAAGACTAAAGAGCTGTCAGGGACAAAATTGTAGACCTGCACAAGGCTGGAATAAGCTACAATACCATCAGCAAGAAGCTTGCTGATAAGGAGACAACTGTTGGAGCGATTATTTGCAAAATGGAAAATATACAAAATAACCATCAATCACCCTCGGTCTAGAGATCCATGCAAGATTGTGCCTCATGGGGTAAGGATGATCATGAGCAAAGTGAGGGATCAGCCCAGAACTACACGGGAGGAGCTTGTGACTGATCTCAAAGCAGCTGGAACCATAGTCACCAAACAAACCACTGGTAACACAATACGACGCCATGGATTGAAATCCTGCAGTGCCCGCAAGGATCCCTTCTTCAAGAAGACACATTTATATGCCCATCTAAAGTTTTCCAATGAACATCTAAATGATTCAGAGAAGGATTGGGAGAAAGTGCTGTGGTCAGATGAGACCAAAATTGAGCTTGTTGACTCTATTAGCTGTGTTTGCAGGAAGAAACATGTTGACTATGACCCTAAGAACACCGTCCCTACAGTCAAGCACAGAGGCGGAAACATTATGCTTTGGGGCTGTTTCTCTGCTAAAGGTATAGGCCGACTTTGCGGCATTGAGCGGCCAATGGACAGGGCCATGTATTGTAAAATCTTGGATGAGAACTTTCTTCCCTCAGTCAGAACACTGAAGATGGGTTGTGGATGGGTCTTCCAGCATGACAATGACCCAAACTATACCATCAAGGCAACAAAGGAGTGGCTCTTGAAGAAGCACACTAAGGTAATGGAGTGGTCTAGCCAGTCTCCAGACCTTAATCCTATAGAAAATGTATGGAGGGAGCTGAATCTTCAAGTTGCCAAGTGACAGCCAAGAAACCTTAAGGATTTAGATAAAATCTGTAAAGAAGAGTGAACCAAAATCCCTCCTGAGATGTATGCAAACCTGGTAACAAACTACAAGAAATGTCTTACCTCTATGCTTGCCAACAAGAGTTTCTCCACCAAGTACTAAGTTATGTTTTGCTTGGGGATCAAATACTTATTTTACTCACTGAACTGCAACTCAGTATATAACATTTGTATCATGTGTTTTTTTTCTGGATTTTTGGTCGACATTTTGTCTCTACATTTAAAATACACCCATGATAAAAATTGTAGACCCTTCATTTATTTGTAAACTTACAAATTCTGCAGGGTATCAAATAATTATTTTCCCCACTGTACATGTACTATTTAACTGCCAAGTATGCTTTTATCGCACAAAATGTTTAATCTATCCCTCAGAATGCTGCATTGATTTAGCTATAAATGATAATATAAAGAATGAGTAACAATGAAAAAATCCCCGGAGGGTTTAAGTAATCATTCTCACCCTTTTTTCATTATGGTTTTGTGTATCAGGGGGTATGGTGAGTATGTATCCTATACACAAATATTCTGTGCTAGAAGGTGTCCCTCTTTCTTCAGAAGATTAACAGGAATAGCATTGGGGCCTAGAAATGACCAGCTCACATTCCAAATGCTGCATTGTTGGGAAGCAAAAGTACTGGGATTTTAGGGTGGTAAAAGGCTTCATTGAGGGGATTTCACCTCATTTTCTTTCCTCGTGAAAGAAAGGTAAGAGATACGAGGATTGATTGTCAATGGGACAGGAACACGGACAGTAATATTATTGTGACAGAGGCCCTAACTTTTTACCTCTATGTTGAAAAAAAAAGCGTGTTTTCCTGCTGAAGAGATTCCCCATAAGTTCTTATGAGCTTACAACAGGAAGTGAGGGGAAGTCTCCCTCAGTGCATAAAATATTAAATCATTCTGGGGAAAAACTATTACCAAATAAAACCTGAATATTTTTAGATTTTTCAAACATTAAAAGCACTCTGTTCCATAAGAGGTAATCAACTGCTAGTCCTATACAAGACCATTAACATATCACATAGAGCTAAAAAAAAATAGCAAAGAAATCCAGCAAGGCTGATAGCTAATTTTGCCAAGGACAATGCAAAAGTGGTCATTATATGTTATGCTAGTTCCCATAGACATAAAGATCTAACTAACCTAAATGACCAATAGATGCCTTAGGCAATTATAAATCTCAGATGTGGTCAGTCTATGGATACATCCAGATCTGGGCTTTCCACTGCAGTGATCATTATATTAAACTGTTCTGTATATCATCATTGTGTTGAGTAAGGAGCCATCTATTGGCATTCATTGGAATTGCACCCTTATCAATAAAGAATAGGAAGTATTTCATATTTGTTAAGAACAAAGATTTCTCATAAACCACTGCAGCCTTTTTTAGTTTCTAGAACACCAGTGAAGGTCTCCTCCATTCTCCCTTTGATACACATATGCCTGTAAGTTCTTTCATTGTGTTTGGTAAAGTCACACACATAGCTAGATCGTATTTCAATGATTCAATGTGATTTGTAGGTAGCTGTTTGTAAGAAATGTGTTTTTTTGTATGCATTTGTGAGGGGACATGTGTACAAGCATATTGTAATTTCAGTTTGTGTTACTGTATTGCAATTTTTCACAACTATTCACAAACATAAAGTCATTTTTGGAATGAAACATAGCGCTGCTTCTATAGGTTTTGTTAGCTAGCTGTCGGCTAACCGTCAGTAAGACAGCACATAAACATTTGCTGAATTATACAACTGTGGAGCATCAATCACACAGGTAGCCAAAGTATTGACTGATACATTACTGATAGAGTTGAGCGAATTATTCAAAAATTCGATTCGGCTGATTCGCCGAATTTGCGGGAGAAATTCGATTCGATGCGAATTTATTCGCCGCGCATTTAACTTATTTAAAGGGTTTCTAGGCTTCAGAGAGCCTTTATATTAGTGCAGAACACTGTACCTTTAATTTAAATGCCCTTGGAGTCTGCTGGGGAAGAGAAATAATACTGTCAGTCAGTATGACATGCAGATGAGTGCCGTCGATCTTAGAATCACCGCACACTTCACTCATTTGGGCAGTCACGGGGCACGACGAAGAAGAAGAAGAAGAAGAATGAAAAGAAGAAGAAAAGAATGAAAGAAGAAGAAGAAGAATGAAAGAAGAATGAAAAGAAGAATGAAAAGAAGAATGAAAAGAAGAATGAAAAAAGAAGAATGAAAAAGAAGAAGAAGAATGAAAAGAAGAATGAAAAGAAGAATGAGAAAATGAAAAGAAGAAGAAAAAAGAATGAAAAGAAGAAGAAGAAGAATGAAGAAGAAGAAGAAGAAGAAGAATGAAAATAAGTAGATGAAGAATGAAAAGAAGAAGAAGAATGAAAAGAAATGAAATGAGAAGAAGAATGAAAAGAAGAATGAGAAGAAGAATGAAAAGAAGAATGAAAAGAATGAGAAGAAGAAGAAGAATGAAAAATGAAAAGAAGAAGAAGAATGAAAAGAAGAATGAAAAGAAGAGAGAAGAAAAGAAGAATGAAAAGAAGAAGAAGAAATGAAAAGAAGAAGAAGAATGAAAAGAAGAATGAAAAGAAGAAGAAGAATGAAAAATGAAAAGAAGAAGAAGAATGAAAAGAAGAATGAAAAAGAAGAATGAACTATATTACTATATCAGTCTCTAATGGATGCTGGAGAGTTAAACCCCCTAACACCTGCTGTGCCCATTATGAGGGGTTCCCACCATCCCTGTGCTGAGGTTCTGGGTATGCACACCTGCTGTGCCCATTATGAGGGGTTCCCACCATCCCCTGTGCTGAGGTTCCAGGTCTGCACACCTGCTGCGCCCATTATGAGAAGTTCCCACCATCCCTGTGCTGAGTTCCTGGGTCTGTACACCTGCTCTGCCCATTAGGAGGAGTTCCCACCATCCCTGTGCTAAATTCCTGGGTCTGTACACCTGCTGTTCCCATTATGAGGGGTTTTCTACCATCCCTGTGCTGAGGTCCCAGGTCTGCACACCTGCTGCGCCCATTACTAGG